AACACGCGAGGAGAGAGGCTCAGGGTTGTCACCGCAGTGTTGGGCACTGGAAGGTCTCGGGGCTGTGAGGGCAGAGGGTGGCTGGGGGTGTTTCCACCCTCCTCAAAACATTCTTGATGCCCTCCAAAGCCCCGGCAGCTCTGAATGAGTCAGGGTCTCTGTGGCGAGGTTTAGCCAGCCTGACATCCTCTCTCCTCCCCTTCAGGTGCCTGTGCCCATCACCCAGATGGAGATCTCTGTCAAGCGTGTGAGTATAGACATGGCTTGGCCCCAGGGCTGGGGACTGAGTTGTGGTCACCAACCTCCCAGAGCCGCATGGTGCTTGCCCTGGGGAGGTCTTGGCTGGCCCCCTGGGTGCTGTGCCCATGGGGCCTGCCAGCATCACCACCTTGGTGCTGTTCCCCCAGCAAACACTCTACGTGGGCTCCAGCCTGGGGGTGGCCCAGGTGCGGCTGCACCGGTGTGAGTCCTACGGCTCGGCTTGTGCTGAATGCTGCCTGGCCAGGGATCCCTACTGCGCCTGGGACGGCACTGCCTGCACCCACTACCAGCCCTCTGGCAAGCGCCGCCATCGCCGCCAGGACGCCCGTCATGGTAACCCCGCGCACCAGTGCCTGGACCAGAACCTGACTGGTGAGAGACTGGGGGACCCACAGGGCTGAGGGATTCCTCCAGGTGCCCCAAGGTGTCCTGACATCCACAGCCCTCAGCATAGAGAAGGGCTTGTCACCATCGGGATGGGCTGGGGAACCCTCATCTCCCTGTCCCATTGACCAAGGGGTGCCCCAAGAGAAGGTGGGTGCTGCTGGGGCTGGGGTCTGTCCCCAGGGAGAGAAGGGGGCTGAAGCCACATGTTGGCCCAGGGGGGCTGACATACAGGCAGGTGGAAGCCTGGCTCTGCCCTCCTCATGAGCCCATGCCTGTCTTTGCCCCAGTGGATGATTTTGAGACTGTTGAGGAGAAGGTGCTTTACGGGGCGGAGGACAACAGCACCTTCCTGGAGTGCGTGCCCCGGTCCCCGCAGGCCACTGTGCAGTGGTTTGTCCAGAGGCCCCCCGATGAGCAGCGGAATGAGGTGAGGCTGCCCCTGTACTTGCTTCCCTTGTGGGGACATGGGAGGGATGTAGGGCCAGACCTGGACTCCCCCAACCTTGTGGTGGCCGGCAGGTGAAGACGGACGATCGGATCCTGCAGACGGAGCACGGGCTGCTCTTCCGCAAGCTGCACCGGCACGACACCGGCACCTACTACTGCAAAACCCTGGAGCACGGCTTCACCCAGACTGTGGCCAAGACGGCCCTGGAGGTGATCCCCGGAGAGCAGCTGGCACACACCCTCCCCCGGGAGCGGGGTGATGAGCCCCCACGGCTGCTCTGCTCCGACCCCCGGCTGCTGCCACAGGCTCCCAAAGCCTGGTTCAAGGACATCATGCACCTGATCAGCTCCCAGAACCTGCGGCGGGTGGAGGAGTACTGTGCCCGCCTCTGGTGCGGTGGCCGCCCCCACCACCGCAAGAGCAAGCTGGCCCAGGCCAAGCTGGCCCTGGCTGGAGTGGACATGGGCAAGAAGGGACAGGTGGCCAAACCCCACAGTGAGAGGAACCGTGTGCCCCGGCAAGTGCCAGCCACTTAGAGAGGGCAGGGTGACGGACGTGGGGTGGCCGTGGGTGAGCACCAGCTCCCCGTGCTGCTGGCAGCCCCGAGGGTCTCCTGCCCTGGCAGTGCTGCCAGCCTGGTCCCCTCGGACAGGTGGATGGGCAAGTCCCTGTCACCTTCAGTGGCTGCAGAGTCACCTCCAAAATGGATGGTGAGGTGGGATGCATTGTCCCCCCCCTTGCTCTTGCTGGGTGCTGTGGCAGCTGGGGGCCATGGTCCCTGGGTGTGTTGGGGCAGGCGTGGTGGCACTGCTGTGCTGTCACCCCAGGAGCTGGCTGGCTTCCTCTGGGAATAAAGGGGCTGAACATGGCACCATGGGGAGCAGCTGATGGCTTTGGGCTCTTTCCGTGCCAGCCCAGAGCCTGGGGAAGATGATGCCTGCTCTTGTGGGGGAAAAAACTGAGCATTACCCCAGAAAACATCCGTGTCCGGGTTGAGCCCTGTCACCTGCTGCGCCTGGGGTGCTGGAGCCGTGCTGTGCCACCCAGGACATACCCTGGAGGACAGGGCTCCTTCCTACTTTCCCTTGGCATCAGGACTCACTCAGCAGTGCCTGGGTGCAGGTCCCCATTTCCTCTCTGTCCCCCTGCCCCCAGCCACAGTTTTAGGGTCAGGGAGAAAAGCAAATGTTTGTGGGCAGGTTAGACCTGTTCCTGGGTAAACATGGGAGAGGCACTGATGCCATCCCTGTCACTGTGCCCAGGTAGGAGCAGGGACAGGCAGAAGGCACAGTTTGGGGGGGCTGCACCACAGCTGGGGTGTGTTTCTGCTGGTTGGTGTCCCTGCAGATTGGGGTGGGACAAGGCCGGGTTGGGTGGGCTCGTGGTGGCTGGTGGAGCCAAACCAGCGTCTGGCGTCTCCCCCAAATGCAGGGGCTGGGGTAGGTGCACGGCGAGGTGCTCCTTGCTTTCCTCCCCCGACATGAGCTCACTCCTGGTCAGTCCCGGGGTGATAAAGATCTGCCCCTTCCTGAGGCAGAGCAGCCCCACACAATGGTGTGAACCTCAGCCCCGCTGGGATGGGCATTGTTCGGAGCCGGAGGGACGGGAAAGAAAAATAATAATAATAATAATAATTAAAAGGCCCTAAATAGCTCACACAAAGCCAGGTTGTGATATCATCTCTCCTCCCTGTGAGTGTGTGCGTTTGTGCTGCAGCACAGCTCGCGGGGAGCAAAGTCCATGGGCAGCGCTGCTGTTGCCCAGGGAGAGGGGCTGGGGGTCCTAGCCCCCTTCTCCAGCTCCCTTGCAAGCTCCAGGTGCCTGCTCAGGGTGTTTCCTGGGATGGGAGAGCTGTGGCGGGGCTGGCGGGCCAGGACACGTCCTGCAGGGAGGGGAGCGGTGCTGGCAGCGCTGATTTGTGGGGCCAGACTGGAGCCAAGCACGTGGATTTGGATAATCACAGGCCTGGGGGGCACGGGAGAATGACAACCAACAAGTGGAGACAAGGAGGGACCTGGGTGTAGAGCCAGAAAGGAGAGACAGGAGTCTGATTCCTCAGGGCCTGGATTAAAGGGCTCAGCAGTGCCTGCACTGACCCATGCTGGAATGCCTATGCCCTGCTGCCTCTGAGTGACTCTCTGAGCTCCACAGGGCAGGGGATGAGCTGCTTGTCTGGGGGGAGGCAGCAAGAAGGGTCCTGAGGCCACGCTGTGTGTGGGACTCGACCCTGAGCTCCTGTGGGACCCACCTGGAGGTGGCACCGGGGCCAGCAATGCTTCAAACTGAGCAGGAACAGAGACCAGAAGAAAACAGTCCCCCAAAGGGCTTATCCTGCCTCCCAGTAAATCTCTAGGATGGCTGAACCTGGCCCTCCTGGGTAGATTTACCCCACTAAGGCTGGAGCAGGAGGGAGAAGCAGGAGGGATTTTCTCAGGACTGCCTGTCTTGGGATCACCAGCAGCTGAGGCGACCTGGGTCCCTGGAAACTTCCATGTGCTGAACGACCACGAACACATCCTCAGGCCCCCAGGGGGTGGAAGGAGACACAATCCATGGGCAGATTCAGCACCTGCAGCATGAGGGGAACAAGCCCTACCCGGGGCTTGGCGCTGTCCCGGGGCAGAGCAGGGTGAGGGGGGCGCCGGGGGACGGGGTGTGTGTGGGAACGGCCGCAGAACAAAGCCGTGGAGGTGGGGGAAACAGGCACAGCCATTCCCGCTCCTATTTTTATCCCACTTCCTAAGGAAGTGCAGCGCGGGGGCGCACGCTCGCCCTGGGAGCCTTCCAGCCTCTCGAGGCAGAGAAAGTGGAGCTGCTGGCCAGGGCAGGGCCGGCACGGGTGGCACCTCAACACAGAGTCACAGGATCACTTAGGTTGGGAAAGACCCCCGAGATCATCGAGTCCGACAGAATATTGGTTCCCAACCCTAAAAAACCCAGCAAACAACCCCATAAACAAACAAAACAACAAACCTCTCAACCCACCAGGCAGATGCACCCACATTATTGTGCCTGCTATTCCTTTCCACCCAACATGCACGTTTTTGGAGACCTTGCTATGAGCACAAGGCAGGGCGTCCATCCAACAGTCTGGGACATTGCAAATCCTGGTAGATGCCTATACTCTCAGCAGTGCTGTTAAGTGCTGCAATAAGCAGATCCTCCTTGAAGGGCACAGGGGCAGAACTAAGAAAGTATTGAAGTATCACAGTGCGTAAGGAATCACAGGAATAAAGTTCAGCAACAAGTGCTGCAAACTAAATTCCCTAAAAGAAATAAATTTTAAATTTATTTAAATGAATTTATTAAATTAATTTTTATTGCCTATTTATTACAGATAATTCTATATGTCTATTTTTTGTAATATAGTATATATGATATAGCATATACATTTTTATACTGTACATATTATCTTATAGTATAGTATATTATTACAGATATTATTATATAAAAATGTTAACCATGACATATTATTATATAGTATTATATTGTATATATATTATTATATTATATTGTTATATTATTATATCTATTATATTAGATATATTACATATAATATAGTATATTTATTATAATATAATGTCTACTTATTATAGATAACAAACAGAAGTAGCAGCATAGAGTGAGGAAAGGGAGAGAAGAGAGGATGTAAATCGGTCGGCAGAAAACAGTAAAGAGCGAGTCGTGAGAAAGCCCATTGTTTTAAATGCAATAAACTCTGAACATCCACCGCACGCTGTGGCAGAAAGAAAAACACACTGGCATGGTTTAGACAAGCCGTTTTCCACGGAAACGCCCCGATCCCGGTGCCCCCACCGGTCCCTTTGTGCCTCCGTCTCCCCCTCGCGCCCCACGTGGCGTCACGGGGGACAGGCGTCGCGCCCGCGTGACGTCACGGCGCGTCGCGCTACGATGACGCGGCGAGGCGAGCGACGGAGGGTCCCGTAGAGGGGCCGCACATGGCGGCGCGGCCGGGCCCGCGGGAAGATGAATAAGGGCTGGCTGGAGCTGGAGAGCGACCCCGGTGCGCGGGGTCGGGCTGGGGGGCGGCCAGGGGAGCTCCCAGAGACGGGCCACGGCGGCCAGGGGGCTCTGAGGGGCGCGCGGGGAGCGGGGCCTGGGCCGGGGGGTGCGTGGGGGAGAGGCCGGCGGGCCCTGAGGGGCGGGCAGAGTATGTGGGGTGCACAGGTGGGATTTTGGGGGAGTGGGGTGCACGGGTGGGAGTTTGGGGCGTCTGGGTTGCACAGGTGGAAGTTTGGGAGGCTGGGAGTGTGGGATGCGGTTTTGGAGGGTGTGGGGTGCACAAGTGGAGCTTTGGGGGGCTGTGTGTGTGGGGAGATGCCTGGGGAGGGTTGTGGGGTGCAGGCCCGAAGTAGGAGGAGCAGGAGTTGTGGGAGGGTGTGGAATGGGAACAAAGGCTGAAACGGGGTTACAAGGAGGGGAGAGGTGCCGAAGGGGTGCCTGGGGTGGAGGGTTAGGAAGGCAGGTGAGGGTGTAGGGGGTGCGGGGTCTGCAGGGAAAGGGGACTGTGGGAGGTTACAGAGCCCATAGGTGGGTCAGGAAGAGGTTAAGGGGGTGCAGGGCAGGCTGGGTATGGGGGTGCAGGTGTGTGGAGGGCAGGGATGGGGTGGATGGGGCTGCAGGAGCACTATGAAGTGGGGCCTGGGCTCGGGGAGCACCTGTACACAGGGTGTGGTGCCCCAGACACTCTGTGTGTGGGGGGGGGTGATAAACCTGGAGGTCTCTGTGGGAAACATCTGCAACACTGTGAGGTGCAGCATGAGGCATTCCTGTTGTTTGCAAACACACCTTGGAATATCACTGAAACACAGGTAGAGAGGTGTGTGTGGAATGCCCTGTGCTGCAGGAACAGCCCTGGCTGGCGATTTCGGGGGACTGAGGACACCTTGTGTCACCTGGAGCATGTGGGGGGGTGTCCCCATTGTGTGTGTCACACCCTGCCATGGCTGTGCAGTCACACCCTCTCCCCCATGGAGTCCAGAAAAGATGCTGCAGAGCCCAGAGTGGAGCAGAAGTGTTGGAGTTCCTGTGTTGGAGAAGGTGGATTCTGTGATGGAGTCCTGAAATTGTTTCGCAGGTTGGGATTTCAGGGCCAGAGCTGGCGTGGGCAGGGGCATTGTCTGAGTATTGTTTTAACACTGCTGAGTTGCTGCAGTGGGAGCTGCTCTGTGGGATGGGGTGGTGAGTTTTTGAGACTGTGAGTGAGGAAATTGGACCTCTGGAATTATACTGGTCTCCTGTGCTCAGTGAAGGATTCTCTCTGTCTGTTCCCAGTCATGCTGGGCTTTGCTGCTGTTTGTCCTCTTTACTGGTGCTTGGGAACTGCTGAAATCATTCCCATCCACTCCATCTTCACCACAGCAAAGCTGAAGACAGGGCATGGTTTGGATTCTTATAGCTGGGAGGGAAGATTTGCTCGCGAGATAACCTGTCTGCACAGAGGAAGGTTTCCTTTGGGATGTGGCAGTTCTGTTGCAAAGGTGACAGCTAGGACAGCTGTTAGGAGTGACCAATGTGCTGCTCTCAGCCTTCAGCACATCCCATGAGCTGCCCATCCCTCGCCACAGGGCTTGGGATTGGGATCTTTGGGTGCTTTTCTGGTCAGGAAGGGTCGGGAGATCCAGGTTTGGGTGGAGAGGGGAGCCTTGGGAACACCCAGGCTGCTGGTGTTTGCTGTGTGTGCTTGTGGACACCAGAACGTGTCCCAGGTGACCCAAATAATTTGAGGTGGGGCTTTGGGTGTTCCAGGAGTGATGGCAGCAGCAGGACTGTGCGTTTCAGGGATGCTGAGGTAACGCAACTGGAGAAGAAGGGAGGGTTGGAAGGGACCAGGATGGCGCCGGGATTTGGTGTGATGGTGTGGCATGGGGAGCAGGCTCTCTCTGGTTTGAAGCACATTATTTCTGCAACATATTTCTTCCCATTGACAATTTTGTAAGAAATAAGAAGTTTTCTGCTAAATTAAGGAAGACTTTTTGCTCCCAGAAGTTTTCTCCTTGTTTCAATAATTTTAACTTTGGTGTGGAAGCTCCTTGGGCTCTTCACTTCTTAACTGAGCTACTTACTTCGGGGTCCTTAATTCTATTGCTTACAGGGATGTTTCTCAGGATTTAATCCTTATTGGTATTCCCTGGACTTCCTCCCAGGCTTTCAGCAGCCTTTATGTGGGAGCTAAAGAAGCAGTTTTGTTATTCCAGTCTCGAGCTCGCTCACTCCATGTGCAGGGTGACTGCCTGGAAATCGGGCTGACTGCTTTGCTGCGGCATCATAGTGGCAGCTGCCACTCAGTTGCTGATGTCTGATAATCATTTGGTCTCCTTGCTGTTGTCTCTGTGTCCCTGGTTATGTCCTCCTGGACAGGGAATTTTGTAGTCACTGGAGACAGGCTTAGATTTAGTCCCCCAAGAAAGAGAGAGATGAAGACGAGCCTTTTGGCCCTCAGACTTCCTTGCAACCCTGTTGCTGTGAGCTGCTTTCCTTTCATTGCCTATCTTTCACTAACAAGAACAGAAATTATCTTCCTTTAAAATTTCCTGTGACCTACTCAGCCATTTTTCCCTCTGGTTGAAAGCGTGTGTGTTGTTCAGGTGCTCCCTGCTGCTGCTCATGGTGGGGATTTACTTCTTGGCCGGTCACCTGCAGTGGGTCAGGGTGCCCAAGGTAGGTCTGGTTGCACTGGGCTCTGGCAGGAGAGGGATGGTTCAGATCCTCTCTAGGAAGAGGGTGATGAATTGGGATGGAGGGATGAAGGTAGTCAGAGCCAGGACAGAACGTCCCTGCTGCTGGGACTCAGTGTGATCCTGGTGCTGCTCTGCCATGGGCTTTCCAGCTGTGCCATGGCCTGGGACCACGTGGGACCTTCAGGGGACGGTGGCTGCTGGTTTTCTTCTGCCTTCTTCAGACAGAAGTAACCTGTAGGTTTTGTTCCTTTCCAGGTCTTTTCACACTCCTGGTGGAAGATTTTGGTAAGTCCAAGAAGCCTTTCTTTGAAGTCAGTTTTGTGCCTGACATTACCCCGTCCTTTCTGGTGGGCTTTACACCAGCTTCTGCCCTTTGTCCACAGGGGTCAAGGGAGTACAGGTTGAAGAGATTTATGATCTGCAGAGCAAATGCCAAGGGTAAGTCAGAGGCCTCAGAGTGTGAGTTTTGTGAAGTGAAATGGCCTGTGGACCTGGGAACTCGTCACCAGGCGTTCAGAGGGGCTGTGTGAGCTCATCCGAGTCATGGAGGTCAGTGCTGTACGTGATGGACTAGGAGGGCTTTGTCAGGTTTGGGGCAGGTGGGGGACATCCTGCAAGGGATTCATCTCTCACTGCCCATGGAGAAGTGCAGTGCTCACCCACCAGTGTTCTTGCAGCATGGGACTTCTCCCTGTCCCAGTGCTATGAAATGGCTTTGAGGCTGTCGCTTCTTAAAAGCCATTGCTGAACTCCTCCTGAGAATGAATACAAGGTGGGTGTGAAGGAGAGGTCATTTGGTGGTCAGGCACTGTTCTGCAGGTCAGTCAGTGTCCAGAGGGGAATTTCCCTTTTCTTTGTCTTCAGGCTCTTAAGACTTGTCAAACCCCAATCAAGCTTGATTGCTGGCTGAGCCTGGAGCATCAGCACATGAGGTGTCCTCAGTAGTGTGGGGCTGAGGGGATTGTGCCAGGGGTGGTGGTACTGCTTTTCCTCCCTGTCTTTGCTCTGCCTGTTGTTTGAAACAGAAGGTTTCAAAGGTTTCTGGGCAGGGCAGACCCCTGCTGTGGTTGGTCCAAGATGCCGACTTCTCTCCTCAGCCCTGTGTATGGGTTCATCTTCCTGTTCAAGTGGATTGAGGAGCGCAGATCCCGCCGGAAGGTCTCCACGCTGGTGGATGAGACGTCAGTGATCGACGATGACATCGTTAATAACATGTTCTTTGCTCACCAGGTGAGGGAAAAGGGTGTGTGGGGGTGTCTGCTGTGACAGCTCGGGGGAGCAGGGTGGTACTGAGAGGCTGCACTGCTCTTGCTGGTCATGGGGCAGCACCTCTTTCCTGGGAGTGTCTTCCCTGAGCTCCTGGTTTGAGGGAATGCGGTGAGGGCTGAGAGGCTGTGGCCTGAGCTGTGAGCTCATGGGGCACGGTGTGACTCATGAAGTGAGACTGACCACCCTCCTTCCATCCAGAGCGAAGACTGGGTTGCTGCTCTCACAAGTGGTTCTTGTCAGTACTTTTCAATTGATATCCATGCTGAGGGGTTGTTGAAGGGCTGCCTTGTTCCTGCTGGTTAAGCTGGTCCTTGTGTCACCCTCCAGCTGATCCCCAATTCCTGTGCCACCCATGCCCTGCTGAGCGTCCTCCTGAACTGCAACAATGTTGACCTGGGCCCCACGCTGAGCCGCATGAAGGATTTCACCAAAGGCTTTAGCCCTGAGGTAGGGGGTGGGTGGGCAGGGCTGGTGCATGTGATTCTGCCTCTCACTGTCCTCTCGGGGTGATGCTCTAACGAGCTGGCTCCTTCCCTGCCCTCCGTGGCTGCATGGTGCAGCAGGATTGGCTCTTCTCTCTCATCACCTTGCCTTGCCTTGCTCAGAGCCTTGGTCCCCAGGCTGGGCACAGCTCTGAGCCTTCTGTCATGTTACTCCCTGTGTTCAAAATCCTCTCTCCTCCATTCAGACCTATTATGAAGTCTGTGTTTCTCCCTAGCTGTAATTTCTTCAGTAGAAATTGAGTTTGTGCCTGGAAGTTGTTGTCTTGGTCCTGTGTGTGGATGGATGGAGGGAGTGGGTGAAGCATTTTGTTTGTCTCCCGTCACTTCTCAGCTGTTCTCCTCTCTTGCTGTTGGCTGCAGAGCAAAGGCTATGCCATCGGCAACGCCCCGGAGCTGGCCAAGGCCCACAACAGCCATGCCAGGTGAGTGAGGGGTGGGTGCCTCCAGGTCCCTCTCACTGGAGGAGCAGACTCTCCACTGACCTCTCTTGCCCTCCCAGGCCGGAGCCGCGGCACCTGCCGGAGAAGCAGAACGGGATCAGCGCCGTGCGGACCATGGAGGCTTTTCACTTTGTCAGTTACGTTCCCATCAAGGGGCGGCTCTTTGAGCTGGACGGGCTGAAGGTCTATCCCATTGACCACGGTAAGAGCCTGCCTGCCCCTCCTCATTGATGCAGGTGAACAGCACCCTGGTGTGTCCAAATGTATTGCTTTTCATTGCCGCTTAGTGTTAGCTGATGTTAGTGGAGAATCATTCTGATGGCTCCCAGATTTGTCCTGAGTTTTGATAGCTCATTTTGGAGCCTGTGCACGGTGCTGGGAACTGTGCCTAGAAGGCCGTTGTTTCTAAATATGTTGCATTGCTTTTTCAGCCTTGCCATTTTTCTCTCCACTTGCTCAGGGTCACAAGGTACTTCTGCAGCTCTGAAATAATGTGGTATCCCAAGGACAATTTCTCTTCCTCACTTTCTCCTTGTGTCAAATAACCATTGTGTGTTGAGGCACCAGGTCCCAACACAGATCCCAGCGAGCTGCCCAGGTTACTCCCTTCTTTTACAACTTGACTGCTCAGTTCTGCCTTTCAGATATTTATCCCTGCTAGGACTTAGTTTCTGTGTGTCAGGCCCTTTGGTAAGGTAGCACTTCAGGTACAGGCTGACACATAGTCCTTCTGCCTCCTGGACCCCTTGCTGGCTTGCCCCCTTGTATGTAAGGGAGCCATGGGATTGCCTCTGGTGGGGAGGGCAGGATCTGCTCTGTGAGTCTGAAACAGGAGCCTTGGCCTTCTTTGCCAAGTCCGGCTATGTCTTGTTATCACAGGGCCATGGGCTGAGGACGAGGAATGGACGGACAAAGCCAGGAGAGTGATCATGGAGCGCATTGGCCTGGCCACTGCAGGGTAATCTCCCGAGCCATGGGGTGGGCACCAGCCCCCTGCCATTTTCCCCTGGATTATTTCTGCTGCGGTCTCTGAGCAGCAAGCTGGGCAAGTAGGGGTGGAGAATGTGCAGGTGCTCTGCCTTGTAGCCTTCTCTTGCCTGCAGACAGAGAGAAGCTGCATTCTCTGTACGATGCAGAGTCCCTGCAAATGGCTGCACAGTGTACGAGTGGCCTAACGAGGCCCCTGTTAGCTGGAGTCCATAGGAGAAGGAATGGTGCTTCTGACCCTGAGATGGGCCTCTGGGATGCTTGGGCATGAGGGTGACTGAGCAGTGGCACAGGTTGCCCAGAGATGATGTGGAGTCTCCATCCTTGGAGATACACAAAAGCTTTCTGGTTGTGGTCCTGGTTACAAGCACTGGGTGATCCTGCTGGAGCAGATGACTTCCTCAGGTCCCTTTCCACCTTACCCCACCAGTGAGTGTGAGTGGTGTTTTGTGTGGTGGCTGAAGCAACCTTGCTCTGCTTCATCAGCCAGTGTGTGGTTTGACTTGGTTTTGGGGAGAAGCCTCGGTTGTGTCAGTGTTAGATGCCTGGGCAGGAGATGGGGTGGGGCTAGCAGCCTGCTCCCCTGTGCTGGGGGACAGGCTGTCACTGCTGGCCCACGGCTGAGCCCGCTGGCCCTTCCCACAGGGAGCCCTACCACGACATCCGCTTCAACCTGATGGCCGTGGTGCCCGACCGCAGGATGAAGTACGAGTCCAAACTGCACATCCTGAAGATGAACCGCCAGACTGTGCTGGAGGCCTTGCAGCAGGTAGGACAGCCGAGGCCCTGAGGGGGGGTGAGCCTGGGGTGGGAATAGGCTGTTTGTAGAGCATCTCCCTGTGTTACAGGGGCCCTGAATTTTGGGGTTTTGTTTGGCCTTGGGAAGTGGCTTGTGGGAAGAGGAGATAACCAACCTTGCTGCTTGGCCTTTTGCTGCTCCTGTGGGAGGTGGCTCACCCATGGCACTATCGGTTGTGCACCTGGATGCTCAGTGATTGGCTCCCTCTCACAGGCTCTGGACTGCTGGAATGGGAGGGATGTGATTTGGGTCACCCCAATCCAGCATTCACTATCTGTCTGTCATTTGCCTTCAAGCTTATCCGAGTAACTCAGCCTGAGCTGATACAGACTCAGAAGTCTCAAGAGTCTCAACCTCCTGAAGAGGCAAAGCCAGTCAGCAGCAAGACTGTGACTCCAGAGACCACCCACCCAGGTAGGCCCCCATAGCAGTGTAGCTTCAAAGTGGGAGGCTTAAGCCTGGAGACACCGGTGACAGCTGGAGATGGGGGTGATGGTGTGATGGAGCATAAGAGCTCTTATGTGGGGTGGGCAAGAGGACAGGGGGTAGAAGGTGACAGTGTTGGTGATGAAAGCCTGTGCTGTGCTTGTGTGGCAGATGGCACCGATGAGCCCCCCAGCCAGGGCCACCCCGTGGCCACGCAGAGCCCATCCAACAAAGCCAAACCGGGGCCAAAGACATCAGTGTGTGGCATCAACGGGGCACCTCCAGGGAACCCCAACCCCATAGTGCAGAGGCTGCCAGCCTTCCTGGATAACCACAACTACGCCAAGTCCCCCATGCAGGTAGGCTGGAGCTCTGTGGGACTGTGGCTGTCAGCTGGCCTAAGCCTGGCCCAAGCCTGCCTGCCCTGGCACTAACCCAGGCTGGAAGGGGAGAGAGTCAGTAAAGACTGACCTGGCAAAGGATGTCAGTGTTAACATGGGTCAGCTGAGCGAGCAGGGGGAAGGGTCCCTGTCTCCTCTCAAAAGGGATGAGTCCCGGTGTTGGTCTGGACCAAGGATGTGTCCACTGGGCTCTTCCTTCTGGCCCCACTGCCGGCAGGCCTTCAGCAATGGTGTTTTGTAGGAGGAGGAAGACCTGGCAGCAGGAGTGGGTCGCAACCGGGTCCCAGTCCGACAGCACCAGCAGTACTCGGATGATGAGGATGACTATGATGATGATGAGGAAGAGGAAGTTCGTAACACCAACTCAGCCATCAGGTGAGTAACACCAACTCAGCCTCAGCTTGAGCTGAGGGCAGGGGCCAGAGAGCTGACATTTGCAGAACTGCCAGCAGGGACTTCCAGATCTCTTTCCTGAGCGCTGATAGTTGTGTTTTCCTCTTCACCTGCTATTTCACTGGATTTTGTGTAGCCCTTCTGTAGCTCTTCACAACTAACCCTGAATTTCAGCTGCCCTGGGTGTAACTCTGTATTGGCATCAGGCTTTGGGGCTTTGAGGAACAGTTGCCAGTTCATCTCCTGGTGACAGTATTGGTGTGCTCAGACTATTCTCAGGCCAGGAAGGTGGGGTCATAGCAAGGGTGCTTTTAGGGCTTTGGAAGAAGAGCAGGGGTATGCAGCACCCTGTAACCCCTGGCTGTGTAGGGGTCCCTGGGACTGAGGAGTTGGTGGTGGTGTGCTGCCTGAGAAGCTGGTGGCACTGGGGGTGACCTAGAAATGTTCCAGGCCTTGTTTCATCCCATCAGGCAGCCTAGACTGCTGAATGCAGAGCTGGCAGTGGCTGTGCTGGGCCCCCACGTTCTTCTACCAGCTACTCACCTTCCCTGCTGTGTTCCTGGGCAGGTACAAGAGGAAAGGGCAGGTGAAGCAAGAGCATGTGGCGGGGGCTGCGGATGGCCAGCTCTCTGTCCTCCAGCCCAACACCATCAACGTCCTTGCTGAGAAGCTGAAGGAGTCTCAAAAGGATCTTTCCATTCCCCTGTCCATCAAGACGAGTGGCGGGGGTGCTGCCGTGGCCGTGGTCACCCACTCCCAGCCCTCTCCCACCCCCAGCAACGAGAGCACAGACACCGCCTCCGAGATTGGCAGCGCCTTCAACTCCCCGCTGCGCTCCCCGATCCGCTCGGCCAACCCCACGCGCCCCTCCAGCCCTGTCACCTCCCACATCTCCAAGGTGCTCTTTGGGGAGGAGGACGGGCTGCTGCGTGTCGACTGCCTGCGCTACAACCGGGCCGTCAGGGACCTGGGGCCCATCGTCAGCTCCGGGCTGCTGCACCTCACCGAGGACGGCGTGTTCTGCCCACTGGCTGCTGCAGGTAGGTGTCTGCCAGCTTCTGTGGGGGTGACATCTCCCCTGCAGTGATAGGAAGGTGTCCCTGGATTTCGGGTGTGGGTGCCAGTCCTTTGTGATGGCTCCTGATGCTTCCTTACCCTCTGTGCAGATGGGGGGAAAGGCTCCCCCTCTTCCATTAAACCCGGTGAAGAGGCCCCGGTCGCGATCAAACTGGAGGAGAAGGAGGGCAGTGAGGCCAGTGACAGCAAAGAGAAGGTGGGACTTGGCAGGACCAGTGATCACCCTGGGGGGGAAAAGTATTCTCCCAAGGTGAGTTTTGTGCTGTGACAGCCCTGGGAGCGTGGAGCTCAGCCGGAGGCGCAGCGGCGCTGGCAGTGACCGAACCGCATGTGCACGCTGTCCCGCTCGCGTGTCGTCGCAGCCGTGCCTCAGGGCACAGGGCAGTGCAGGTTTTCCTTGTCGTCTCGGGGACCTTTGTCTCAGCAGTGGGCACAGTCCCTGTCTCTGCAGCTGAGACGTTCAGCCTGCTGTGCTCTCCTCCGGGCCAGGGGCTGGTGAGACCCTGCGTCCCCAAATCCCAGCCTGCTGGTGACTTCACGGCCTGTCTGTGCCCTCCAGCCAGGGACAGGACCAGGCTCAGGCAGCAAAAGTTTGCCAGGGGAGGAGAGCTGGCTAGAAACTGCCACTCAAAAGGGAAGTCTATGGATTTTGGTTTTGAGGGGAAGCAGCCCCTGGGGTGTTTCTCATCCCTTCTGCCTGTCCCAGAACCAGGTACAATGGGGCTGAGGCAGAATCCAGCTCCCCTGGGGCCTGCCGTAGTGAATTCCCTACAATGAACTGATCTCTCTTTGTTTTCCCCTGGCATGTTTTTCCTTTGTTGAATCCTCCCTTTCCCAGTGCAGAGAGGAACACCTGCCAGCTCACCCTGCTGGCTCCTGGCCTGTGGTTGGGTCTGTGCTCACATTTTGTCTTCTTGATACTGGTAGGAGTTGCTGGCGCTGCTGAAGTGTGTGGAGGCAGAGATTGCAAACTATGAGGCCTGCCTGAAGGAGGAGGTGGAGAAGAGGAAGAAATTCAAGGTGTGTTGATGGCTTGTTTGTGTTGCTGTTTTTGCTCCCCAGATGTTTCTGTCTGGGTTGTTCTTATGTAAAAATGGAGGGAGAGTGGTCCAGCTGAGAATGGCCATGGTGAGCATTCAGGGTCCCTTCCTCACTACCAAACAGCCCAGCGGGGCAGGGCTCCAGCCAGGGCAGAGCACAGCCCTGGGGCAGCACTGAGGAGGGTGGTGAAGCGCTGGGCTGGGCCACACCTGAACATCAGCCCTGACAGAAGGAAGGGGGCAGTCTGCCCCAAGGCCTGGCAGGATTCCTGCCCTGCCCACCCTTGCCTCTTCCCAGCTGCCTTTTATGGAAAATTTTGGCATCTGAACGGGAATGGAGACCGTCCCAGTTGCGCACTGGCCCAAGCTAGGCTGGGAAGTGGGTCCCTTCCTGCTCTGGTCTCCTTGGCCTGTGGGCTGGGCCAGGCAAGCCAGTTCTTTGTCCTGTTAGGCTTGAACTCTCCTTTCTCCCTGCCACTCACTTGTGGATTTGTCTCTTTGTAGATTGACGACCAGAGGAGAACCCACAACTACGATGAATTCATCTGTACCTTCATCTCCATGCTGGCCCAGGAAGGTGAGCTGTGCTGTGCAGCTGAGGGGATGGGGAGTGGGGTTTGGGTTCAGCTGGGGAGCAGCAGCTGGGAGCCTGGGAAGCTCACCCTGCCTGGCTCCCTGTTTCTGCCAGGCCTGGGTAACACAGGGTAGCACTCACTCCAGGGAGCCAGGTCTCTGCTGTGTGTCTCAATTCATAGTCTCAGGAGGTGCCTACTGCTGGGTTTTGGGTGAGGGAGGGAGGGAGGTAATTCCAACCCCCCAGGCCCATGCCTGTGTGCTGTCCCTGCAGGCATGCTGGCCAGCCTCGTGGAGCAGAACATCTCGGTCCGCAGGCGGCAGGGAGTCAGCATCGGCCGCCTGCACAAGCAGAGGAAGCCGGACCGCCGGAAACGCTCCCGCCCGTACAAAGCCAAGCGCCAGTAGCTGGGAAGCCAAGACTGTGAGAAACAGCAGCTGGGGCTTTGTGCCTTTGGGCAATGACACTTGGATCTACATTACCCTTTGCCCAAGGAAGAGGGACCACAGCGACAAGCCCTCGGCAGAGGTGGAGCCTGGGGACAAATGGAAATTGGATTTTCCTCTGCGCCTGAGCAGTGAAGGGCAGGAATATGTCTTGAGGAGTCCCTGCAGCAGATGGCAATCCAGAGTGCCCCAGCTGCCTGACCATGCCATGGCAGTGCCCAGACGCCGTGGGGCTGTGTCTCAGTGCTGTGGCTGAGGACTGTGATGGGAAGGAAGGAGCCCACCCAGCTGGTGGTGGGTCTGGTGGCGTGGGAATGCTGGCAATGCCCACGTGGGGCTGTGCTGGCCACAGCTGGCTGTGGCTTGTGTCCTCCTGCATCCAGGCCTTCAGCTCTGTGCTTCCCTGGGCCATTCATGTCTGTGTTTTCTATCCTTCTCCCTCCCTTCCCCAAACTCGTTTTTGGTTCTAACCCAGGCTTTGGCCATTCTGAGCAAGGTGGCTCTGGGACAGAGCCCCTTCTGCACCCACCCCGCACTGCACTGTCCCAGTGCCCAGTGCTGCCCGGGCTCCTGGAGATGGTGATACCACGTCTCTTGCTGGGTGAGGGTGGGTGGGCTCGTCCCTGGAGCTGGGCCTTGTGCCCAGCCCTCCATGGTGGTGCTGGGGGTGGCCCATGGCTCTGCTGCCATGGCTGCTCCCCTTGGGACCAGCCCTGTGGCCCTGGCAGTGCCTGTGGGTCACAAGGGATTGTTCCAGTCCCTAGAGAAACTCCATGAATTATGTATGAACAGACCAGGTTCTTAGGGTGGCCTGGTGCTGCTGGGCACAGCACCAGGGTGGATGCTGGATGTGGCTCAGTGAAGCCTCTCAGCATGGGGAGAGGCAGCTGGTTGCTGCAGTGGTGGAGGTGGGATGGGGACAGCAGTGGAGGGAGCCTCCAGCTCCTCCTGCCCAAGCCCCTGGCTGGCTGCTAACCAGAGCTTGCTGGTGCAGCCTGGCTGCCTCTTTCCCACTGCCTCCTGCCAGTGCTCTGCACATGCTCTCCTGCCTGACCCCCCAGCAGCCTGGCAGAAATCTGAGGTGTCAGAGGTGAGCACCGCCCTCCAGAGATGTCCTGGGGTGGAGGTGCCACAGGAGAGGACTGAATTTTTTAAAATATGTACGGATCTTGACTATGAAATGAAAGAGTTCTTTTGGTATTTGTTGAAGGAAAGAAAATCCTTCTGTCTCTTGCTGTGTCTAATATCAAGTGCTGTAAATAATGGATCTGTCTGAAGGAATAAAGCTATCCTGTAACAGCCAGCCAAAGGAGAGGTGTGTGAGGGAAGGGGGGGGGTATGTGGCTGGGAGCACCGAGTGCCAGCTCCAGGCCATGTTTCCCCTGCTAGCAGCTCTTCTGTGGTGTAAAGACTTGAGGTGCAACACCACTGGGTGACTGTGCTGCTGGTGGAGTCAGGCTCAATTTATTGATACACCTGAATAGGAGGAGGGCAGGAATCATCTCAACAGGAAGAGAGCAGGAGGAGAGGGGGCAGCGGCCTGGCTGAGACCCTCAGCTGCAATGGGTTCCTGGGCTGGCTGGGTGGGTGGGACTCCTGGCTAGAAGTCCAGGGCACAGATCAAGGCTGTGCCCCGTTTGATCCAGTGCTTCTGTGGCTTGTCCGTAGGAATCTCCACAGCAATCACGTAGTTGGTGGAGTGGCCCGTTGTTGACAGTGTGCCTGTAATGGGGGAAGCAAGGGGGTGGTGCTGCTGCACACTGACAGGGGAGTCCTGGACAAGTGACCCCCATCCAGGAGCCCCTGTCCCCCACCCTGACCCAAGTGACAGGCTGAGCAGGGCTGGGGGAAACAGGCTTGTGAGCTTGTGGGGAGCCTGGCCAGGGGCACTGCTGCATAGCCACAGTGCCTGGCTGCTCCATCTCCACAACCACAGCAGGAGAAATCTTTGTCTCCCTGGATGGCTTCAGCCTACAGTGCCTCACTCCGTGCCAGTGTATGGCAGGAGGAACTCCTGCCTCTCCTGGGCTGCCCCTCCTAGCTGTTCCTGCAGCTCCCATGCTTCTGGAGATGTCCCTTTAGGGCACCTACCTGCGCGGGTGAGAGTCTTGTAGATGGGGCACAGGTAGGAGCCGGACTCTGGCGGTTTGCGGTTGGCGACGGGCAGCAGCCAGATGACGGCCATCTCTGTGTAGAGCTCCTTGGGCCGGGACTCTGCCAGCTGACCCGCCGCAGGGTCCCAGCGGGCGCCTTCCAGGAACAAGCCATAGATGTAGCAGCCCACGTCGGGCTGGCGCTTCAGCTCCTTCACCGACTCCTTCATGACCTGCCAGGGGAATGGGCATGGGGCCCTTGGGCAAGGCATGTCCCTGGGAGCTCAGCCCTAAGGAGCCTCATAAGCTGCTCTTAGTTAAGCCAGCACTGCCAAAGGTGAGCCTGCCCCAGCTCTCAGAGGGGCAGGGCTGTGTTTTTTGGCTGGTCACATCATGTGGGGCAGCCTGTGACAGAGTTGGTGGAGGGGGATATGAGCAGGTCTGGAGAGGCAGAGAAGCCTCTGCCAGCCTTGAGGAGGTGTCTGGCAGTGTGGGTGGGGGTATCCAAGCCCAAAGGGAGTGATGGGTCCACAGGCAGCTGTGCAGCTGGTGGCTTCACCTCTTGGGCAGGTCAGGGTTAAAACTGCTGCCTTTGTGGCCTTCTAGGAGCAGATTCCAAAAAATTCCAAAGCCTCCACCTGATTTACTGACCTTGAAGCTAAAAGAGATGGTGTCGATGGAGATGACGGACTTCCTGGCGAAGTTCTGCAGTGTCCCTGTGAGGAAGGCCTGAGGGAAGAAGAACCCGCTGATCCAGAACACGGAGGGGATCCCGTGGCTGATCCAGTTCTGCAGGAATTCAATGCGCTGCACCAAGTCGTTCACCCAGGATGCCAAGGGCTTCAGCGATGGATAGGCCTGTGGGGCACCCACAGAGGGAGGTGCTGAATGCAGTCAAGGACAGCCCAGATCTTGTGCCCCAGTCACTGACAGCTGCCCAGAGCCCAGGGGCTGGGAAGAACTGTGAGTTGCACTAGGCAGGAAATATCCCTGTGCCAGGGGAGCAAGCATGTGACACAGCCCAGTCCAGTGGTGGTGGCTGGTGACCCACTCCCCTGGTTTGGTGAGCTCTGGTGGGCAGCTGGGCTGGCTGGGGCATGTACCTTGGCATTCCACATCTCAGGAACAGTGTTGTTGTACAAGCTGCTGGCCATCAGCTCCAGTCGAGAGGACATTACGACCAAGCCCTTGAGAGCTTTCAGCAAATCATTCAGACTCTGAGCAACCTCCTCCAGGAGCTTGTTGTACCTACAGGGAAAGAGCAGAGGAAGCAGAGCAACTCTGTGCAGTGATTTATTGCCCATGTCTGCCCAGAGAGGGTATGGACATCTCTGTACATGAGTGAAGCTCCTCCACGTAACCCCCCAGCCCCACTCCTCTTCAACAGGGTCTCATAGCTGCGTCCCCAGTGCTGAACTGCTGACAGTAGCAGATGGAGACATGGATCAGTCCCCACAGGACAGGGATCAGCCAAAGGTCCTGGCTTGGACAACACAGTTGTTAGGGTGGCTGCCAACCCCACTGCCGTGCTCAGCACTGAGGTTCCCCAGTGGTGGGTGGGAGCAGGGGCCTGCCCATCTCTGCTGTTCCCCGGGATGTGATCCCACAGGGTTTTTACCTGATCACCTCCTGCACCAGCACTGTGTTCATGGACTCCTCGTAGAGCAGGGGGTATTTGCGGATCACCTCCTGCAGGTTCATGGGGGCAGGCAGCTTCGCCAAGATGTCCTTGGAGGTCTCCTCCACAATCTGGAAGGAAGGCAGCAAGTGGGTGAGCATCTTTCTACTCCAGCTCCATGGCTACTGAGAAGGGGAAGAGCTAACACCAAGTGCCACTGCTGGCACCCAGCACCTGCTGAGAGCTGGTGTTTGTGGCCACTGTCCGCACTGGGCACTGGCTGCCAGAGCACTGGTGGGATCAGGGCACCCACCTCCTCCCTGCTGCGGCCTCCCAGTGAGATGGTCTTGGGTTGCAGCTGCGCAATGGCCCCCAGCAGGGCAAAGGTCTCGTTCTGAGCGAAGGTGATGTCGGCATTGTCGTGTAAACCAAACAGCTCTGGGCTGTCGTTGAGCGGCAGGCCCTTGACGTATTGGAGGTAGCCCTGGAGAGGAATCCACACAGACTGTGAGGCCAAGAACAGCTGAAGATCCCCAGGTTCTCACAAACTTATATTCCCCCAGAGAACTGGAAGTGCAGGGGTTTTCAGGGAGGAGAGACCCCTTTTGCACTATGACGATTCCCCTACGTCTATGAACTGCAATTTGTGACTTGAGTACTTACATTGAGGTCAGAAGAGGTACTGATCTGCTTGTAGATGCCTGATTCGGAATAGGCAAAGTCAGGATTTAAAACCTCAGGCTTGTAGAAATCTTCCAAAATGCTCATGATGCAGCGCCGGTCCCAGTCATCGGTAACACGGCCGCCGTAGTTGATCTCCCCAGCTGTGTACTTGAGAACCTGTGAGGGATCCCACCATGGCTTTCCAACCCCCTCATGCATCACGAGCCTGTTCCCTCACAGGAGGGGCAGCTCTTACCTTGTAGGGGATGTCTGCATACTCATTCAAGAACATCTGCAGTTGACTGATGCAGATGCGGAGGTCTCCGTCCGTGAACTCATAGGGGATGTTGAACCCCAGAGGCCCAAACTTTCTCCTCTCCAGCATGTTCCCATGGAAGAAGCAAAGTGACAGCAGCAAGGATTTAAACTCAGTAACCTGTGGGCAGGGAAGCAGGGAGAGGAGTTGCTTAGTTTGGGAGGAGGCATCCTTGGTTGGAGTCAGGATCTGATGGGACCTGGCAGAGGAGATGTGCCAATTCAGCAGTGCCAGCTGGGGCTTGGAGAGGGGGAAACCTCAGTCAAGCTGCTGTGCTGGGGAAGGCCATGGCCCACTCCTTGCTTAAAGAGAGCTGCCAGTGCTTTATGCCACGCCCTCCCAAGCCTGTTGCTTCTGTTTCTCAAAGTAAAACTTCTAAGTGGCTCATCACAGAGTAGATGGGAGTTTATGAGAAATACCTCCAGCCCTTCTCTATCCCATGGGTGCTCTAATGAGGAGGAAGATCTATGCCTGGAGAAGAGCAACATCCAAGTGGAGACCATACACTGGAGCAGGCATAGAGTGGGGACAGCAAACCAAAGCATGACCTGGGTCTTACCTTGGAGCAAGAATTCAAGAAGTCATCACTGAAACTAATGTAGGACTTGAGTAGGTTGGCCTTGACCCCACGGGGGGGCTCAATGGTCATCTTGGAGCCATTCTGGAGGATGGACACAGGGAAGTGGTTACTTGGTAGACTGGTGAGCCAGAGGCGAAAGTCCGGATGCACCTGGAAGTCCAGAAGGCAGCAAGTGCTCAGAGGGTGCAGGCACAGCCCCTGCAGCTGCTCCTGCACTGACTCCCTGGTTCTTTAGAGAACCTGTGGATGTGCCTGAACTACATCTGGGCTCCTCCCAGGGCTCCAGCCTCCTGCCTGTTATCCTCAGAGCGGG